ATCTAATGTAATGCAGGTGAAATTATTAGTTTGTTTTGCCCTCAGCAGGGGGAAGAGGGAACAGTGTGGGTCCTTTTGGATTTCTCAGTTTTCTCCCTTGTGTCTTCATTGAGAGACGGTTCAGGCAAATAAGTGGGGGGAAAGAAAAAACAGTGTGTGAGCACTGAAGGGCTTAGACAACAGCCCCAAGTGAGTGGGGAGGGGGCGTGGGTTTGTTGATGATTTGCTTCCAGTTAAAAGCTTATATGAAAAGTTCCCTTTATAGCAGAGTGCTTAGTACAGAGGGAGCTTTTAAAATAAAAATGCCAGAAGAAATAATCTTTCTGGGCTGGATCCTGAAGATACCATGGTTATAAAAACATTAGATAGTTAGAACGGCTAATTCTAATGTTCAAAAACATCAAGAGTCAGTCCCCCAAAATCTTGAGATTAAAACAAACAAAAAACAAACACAAGTTGGGTTTTTTATCTGCCTTTGGATTTTTGAACTTTTAGGGTCACATTTTCCAGTTTTTCTCCACAACCATGAGGGCTAGAAACTTTTTAAAAAATGAATGCTGGAATTCTCTTCTAATTCCGTGACTCCAGAAGCTTGGGCTTTAATTAAAAAAAGAAAGTATCATGACACTTGCAATACAATCAAAATAGCTGGCAAACTGAGATATCTCTTAAAATGTACTGAAGTGCTGACAAGGCTGCAAGCAGTGACTGAGTCAATTGCTATCTTGTTGTTTGGTTCAAATAAAGTATCTGAAATGTGAAGCACTGTAAAGAACCCAATATGTCAAAGTCTTACAGTAAGCATGTGAGAAGGTGAAAGTGAACTCACCATTATTCACCAAGACGTGGAGTGGACAATTCTTTGCTCTAAACTGTTGCACAAATTGCCGTATGGACTTCATTGAAGCCAAATCACAGTGTAAAAACTCCACTGGAAAGAAACATAGAAAAAACACCCAGTGAAGTCAGTTTACAGTGAAATAAAACAAAATACAAATTTATACATCACAATCCAACCCATTATGCTTGAGTGTGACCTACAAAGAAAGGGAATTAAAAAAAAATTGGCCTGTGCCCTTCTAAAAATTCTTTTTAATGTATAAGGAGGGCCAAAAATGTTCTCTTTTACTCAGATTCAGAGACTTTAAGGTCAGAAGGGACCATCGTGATCATGTAGTCTGATTTCCTGCACATTGCAGTGCACAGAAGCTCACCCACACGCTCATGTAATAGACTCATAAACTTTGGCTGAGTTATTGAAGTCCTCAAATCATGGTTTAAAGACTTCAAGTTACAGAGAATCCATCATTTACCCTAGTTTAAACCTGCAAGTGACCCATGCCCTGTGCTGCAGAGGAAGAAAAAAAAACAAACAAACCAGGATCTCTGCCAATCTGAGCTGGGGGGAAACTCCTTCCTGACCCCAAATATTGTGATCAGTTAGGCCCTGAGCATGTGGGCAAGACCCACCAGGCAGATGCCTGGAAAAGAATTCTCTGTAGTAACTCATAGCCCTCCCCATCTAGTGTCCCATCACTGATCACTGGTGATTTTTGCTACTGGCAGTCACCAATGGGCTACATGCCATTGTAGGCAGTCCCATCATACCATCCCCTCCATAAACTAATCAAGCTCAGTCTTGAAGTCAGTTAGGTTTTCTGCCTCCTCTGCTCCCCTTTGAAGACTGTTCCAGAACTTCACTCCTTTGATGGTGAGAAACCTTCGCCTAATTTCGAACCTAAACTTGTTGATGACCAGTTTATATCCATTTGTTCTTGTGTTAACATTGGAATCTAACTTAAATAACTCCTCTCCCTCCCTGATATTTATCCTCTGATGTATTTATACAAAGCAATTGTATCTCCCTTCAGCCTTCTTTTGGTTAGGCTAAACAAGCCAAGCTTTTTGAGTCTCTTCTCATAAAGTAGGTTTTCCATTCCTTGGTCATCCTAGTAGCCCTTCTCTGCACCTGTTCCAGTTTTAATTCATCTTTCTTAAACATGGGAGACCAGCAATGCACACACTATTCCAGATACAGTCTCACCAGTGCCTTGTAAAATAGTACTAACACTTCCCTGTCTCTAATGGAAATACCTCACCTCATGCATCCTGGGACAGCATTAGCCTTTTTCTCGGCCACATTATATTGACTGTTCATAGTCATTCTATGATCAACCAAATATACACAGGTCTTTCTCCTACCCCGGTCACTTCCAACTGATAAATCCCCAGCTTATAGCAAAAAATCTTGTTGTTAGTCCCCAAATGCCTGATCTTGCACTTTACACTATTAAATTTCATCCCATTTGTATTACTCCAGTTTACAAGGTCATCCAGATCTTCTTGTTATGATATTCTGATCCTACTCCGTATTGGCAATACCTCCCACCTTTGTGTCATCTGCAAAAACTTTTAGCATACTCCCACTTTTTGTGCCAAGGTCAGTAATAAAAATGTTAAACGAGGTTAGCCCCAAGACCGATCCCTGAGGAACTCCACTAGTAACAGCCTCACAGTTCACCTTTCAGTATGACTCATTATGGTCTCCCCTTTAACCAGTTCCTTATCTACCTTTCAATTCCCATATTAATCCCCATCTTCTCCAATTTAACTAATAATTTCCCATGTGAAACTGTATCAAATGTCTTACTGAAATCTAGGTAGATTAGATCTACTGTGTTTCCTTTGTCTAAAAAAATAAGTTATCTTCTCAAAGAAGGAGTTCAGGTTGGTCTGGCAAGATCTACCTTTTGTAAAGCCATGTTGTATTTTATCCGACTCACTATTCACCTCTATGTACTGAACTACTTTCTCTTTCAAAATTTGTTCCAAGACTTTGCATACAACTGAAATCAAACTAACAGGCCTGTAGTTTCCTGGATCACCTTTTTTCCTTTTCTTAAAATTAGGAACTATATCAGCAATTCTCTTGTCAAAAGGTACGACCCCCAAGGTTACAGATTCCTTGCTATTGGACTTGCAATTTCATGTGCCAGTTCCTTTAATATTATTGGATGGAGATTATCCAGGACCCGTGATATAGTCCCTTTAAACTGTTTGAGCTTAACTTCTACCTTGCCTGTGATAATTTCTACCTCCATATCCTTATTACCCATAGCCACACTACCACTACCTCTAAGTTCTTCATTAGACTCATTCAAAACCGAGGCAAAGTATTTGTTTAGGTTTTTCCCCTTCTTTCAGCTTTTGTTTTTCAAGTTCTTGGTTTTTCACCTTCCAAATATTAGGAATGTCAAGTATGGTCTTCCCTTGTTTTGTTAGGGTATCTGTTGAATTGTTCAGAGCATATTTATTGTGAAATATCATACCTTAATTGAAAGAGAGTTGAATCTTTAACAAAAATGTCTTTTATCCACTGTTAATCAGTAATGAAATAGTTGTCAACAAAATGAATAAACATTCAAACATAAAAGAACCAAAATCTTCCCATGTGTTTTAGACAGTCTGATTAAAAATTGCTTCCCCTTTTGGTTGTTCAACTCCCACTCTCTTGACTTTTTTGATGTCACTAGTTCTCTTGTCTAGAATATTACAGGGCAGACGAGACCTGGATGTCTTATGTGAAAAACTAATAACTCTGCTCCCCCCTTGCCGCTCACCCATCAAACTTTTATTTATTTATTCATTTTATTTTTAAAGCAAAACTTTCAGATGTTTTTTATACATCAAAAGGAGGCACAAGAAAAAAGTGCAACCTCCCTTTTTTGCAGGCTCCCTTTAGAAGAGCTATGAAAACTGCATGCCATTTTTAAAAATGTAGACTGACAAACACGGAGGGGGGGGGTTCAACTACACTCTCTAGACTAGTATATGCTGTTTCTTCTCTCTTTTGGTTTCTTACACATAAAACGACAATTTGTGCCAATGACACAGAACTATTAAGCTAGCCACTTGGTGATTTGAGATTACTATTTATTGTACTGTAACATACTCAGCTTTACTGTTGTGGTTAGATGTTCGGCTGCATGCGTGTGTTTAGTTATTACCTTGTACATGTGGGTCACCAGTTTGGTTAGATGTTCAGTTGTGTGTGTGTGTGTGTGTGTGTTCTCTCTGTGTGCTGTTCCAGCTCTGCGCAGACAGCACAGCACAGCACAGCAGACCTCAAACAAACTGCCCAATGACCACAAGTTCCACTAAGGTGCAAAGGCGCCAGGCCAGATTTATTGTTGACAAAACACGGTAATAGCACATTGTAGACGCTACGAGGATACTAAGACATGTAAGCCCGTGACAATGGACGCAGCTCAGTGAATGGCGGGACTTTCCATTCCCCCCTTGGCAGGACAGAGACATTCCCCCTGAGATACATCTTTATACCCTGCTGCAAACAAGTTACCCTTTGACATAATTAGTTACTGCCCCTTGACATGGCTAGCTATTACCTGGCACATGTTGGTTTAATTAAAACATTTTTATTACTTACTGTTATCCTGACCTTATCTTTTAGGAGGGATCAGTATGTTTCTGTTATCCAGGGGGAATGTTTTTGTACCATCCTTGATATTGTGATGTTCTGGTACCACTTGATATGGGGATGTGTTTGCGTAAGTACTCTGTGCTTAGCACTTCTTAGGAATGTGTATTTCTGCAATATCAGCCCTGTTCTTGCCAGATTTTGTGAGCAGGTCCTGCCTCATACCAGGACTCTGATATGAGGGCTTATGTTTCAGGCTCTCTTCCTACTACAACTGTTACCTCATTGTTCCCTTTCCCACTTATTCATCTAATCCACCTGTTTTATATGGTCATAAGATAGACTGTGAGTTCTTTGGGGTATGATTGTGTGTACAGAGTGCATTACAGCTAAGCCCTAACCCCTGATTGGGGCCTCTAGGAACTCCAGCAAGCCACATAAAAAACAGTAATAACACTTATTCAAATTCATTACAGCAGAATAGTTTTCCAGTTTGAAACTGGGGGGAGGGATAGCTCAGTGGTTTGAGCATTGGCCTACTAAACCCAAGGTTGAGTTCAGTCCTTGAGGGGGCCACTTAGGGATCTGGGGCAAAAATCAGTACTTGGTCCTGCTAGTGAAGGCAGGGGGCTGGAGTCGATGACCTTTCAAGGTCCCTTCCAGTTCTATGAGATAGGTATATCTCAAACAGCTTTAGAACTTCAGACACAAATGAAGTTTCCAACTGGTTGTCAATTATGTCAGACTACTGTCAATAACACTCTATATATGGTTAGATCTGGGTGCTTTCCTTGATTTTATTTGTATACTGCATTTGCAAGTGGCAATGAGACAACAGACAACATATTTCTAGGGGATTACTGCACACTGAAAGTGGATACAGCCATTCCTTCTTTGGCCTTCTTGCTGTATAAAGCCACATGAGCAATGCTGTAATCTCCCAGGTAGTTACTACCTGTTGTGTCCTGTTGCTTAGTAACTAATAATGCACGGTTATAACTCTGAACAGTATTGACTGCCTTCTCAATCTTTCCTTTATGTGTGCAAACAGAAATATCAAAAAATACTGCATCTACCGTAGCTTTTTATTTCTCCAATCGGCTCTAACCCCCCAATAGAAGAGAATTAGGAAAAGAATGGTCGCCTCTTCCATGGGAGATATGCATGCACCATGAAAGGAGGAGTTCCTTTTAATACAATATAACAATGGACACAAAGCACTCGTGACTAGAGCTGAGCAACATTTTTTTGGTGAATAAACTATAG